CTTTGTTCTACTTTAGTATTTGCAATGTATATATTTATGTAATTAGGTTGAAACTCTACGAGAAAAGATTATATCACTGGAATTAAGTAACGCAGAAGACGAAGTAGAAAGTATTATCGGAACAGGAGCAAGCGACGCTGAAAGCGAAAGCGAAGAAATTACCGGGCAACCTTCTATCGTGAGTACCTCGCAGGAAAAAATCGAAACAATTATACCTACAAATGCCACTGAAGATGCCGCTCCTAAAATAAGTGCAAATACTGTTCTTGTTTCGAAGAAAAAGAAACGAAAACGTTCGAAAAAAGGTCGTCATTAATAATCTCAAAATAAAAATGTTGGTGCAAAATGAAGAAAGACGTATGGAAGAACGATCGTGAAATTCTTTTTTTACGTTATTGTGAAAGTGTGTTCTAACAATGCAAATTTTGCATTGCGTTGATTCGCTTCGTACTGATTTCAGAATTCAAATCCTTGTCACATCGGTGCATATAATATTGAAAAAATCTCTCATTATGCGCTGCTTTTTTTCGAAGCACACGCACGTATACACAACGCATAATTTCATATTTATCGTTTAACGTAATTGGAATCCAGAATTACATATTTCTTTTATAGATTGTGCTATGTTTTTGATATTAACATAATTGAGGTAAAATGCATGTTTCATTAGCGTTAGCCACGTCGTAGTTTGGTGCAACATAGTAATTACTGCAATCGATTTCTTTATTTCTTTAAACACGATAGAATTTGTACTTTATACTTTACAACATTGATAAACGATACTTCAGTGCTGAAGAAATTAGAATATAATATCGAAATAGTATTTTTACAGACAGTACTATGACAATACATCTTAAAATATATTTACTAAAGTCAGTTCACACGAAAAATTGATGTAATTCAATTACTACATTGTTCTATATAAAATGATACACATTCCTTTTGCAGTTTTTGTTTTGTTTCTTAGTTTAAAAAAATAACGTATTTTACGTGTATAAGCAATTCCTCAATTTAAATAGAAATATAGAAGCAGTATTTATGACAATTGAAACGAACAATATGCAAATAAAAAGATTTCAATCAAATTATAACGTACAATTGGTTTTCAACGTATGTAAAATATATCATTAGTTAGTTTTTAGAAGTAAAAAGTAACGCGAACTACAGCTATTTTTTGTGGTTTGTAAAGTATTTTATTTATTTTCCTTTAGCAATAAATATTAATATATATGTTATGTAAAACTGTTTTAATATACTCTAAGATTCATTTTAAAAGTCACATTATATGTATAATTTCATCGTTAAATATCGACGTAGTTTCTGATTATTCATCTGTAGAAAAAAGTTTATTCAAAGTTTATCGTTCATTCTCGTATCAAAGTTTCCATCGACGTAACGAATGTGCATTAAATTTTTTTAATTGTTTCAAATATATCATACGCGCTCATAATTTCATTTCCTTTCAGATTC